CCGGTAGGTGCGGTGCAAGTATTCGGCGGTCCACAAGGAGACAGGCCAGACCATCGTCCCTATTTAAGAAAGAAAGGGGGCTGATAAATGACGACGATGATAAAATCTACATGGCCGGAAAACACTCACATACGGGTGGTTTTTGCGAGGGAAAAAAAGGGACCGGCTTTTTCAGGGAGACTCACCAGGCCAATACGCGCCATCAAACAAGGGTGCCAATTCGTCCTCCTCCTGTGTACATGTGGCGCGTCCGTGAGCCCCTCCTAACCATGAACTCGCCCTCTCGATTTCATTTTAAGGCCTCCACGCATCATAAAATGCGCCTTTGTCAATGTCATGTCCCTTTCCTTCACTGATTTTTACTACACTAGACCTCTAGAAGTCTAGCACTCCTCCTCACCCTCTGTTCGACCCTCTTATCCTCCCAAATTTTCTTACCAAGAGAGTTCGAAAGGTCAACCGCCTCCTCTCGTATTCCACCACCACTTTTTCCTCCACAACCATGGCTCCTTTCTCACCATCGCGTCCTGCTCCTCCATCCATTCCCTCTTCTTTTATTACTCGAATGACATCGGACTCGTACCCCTGTGGTGGCCAGTCGCATGTGACTTCTTGGGGTGGGCGGCTGCTATGGCCTTCCCGACCTCCTCCCTCCCAGGCTTGGCTTTCCCTTCTTCCCCAAGCCTCCGAACCGACACCAATGTCATCTTCCGGGGTTCTCATCTGGTCACCGTCGCCCATGTGTGTTCTTCAAAGCCTCACCTGTGGAGGCATAGTGTAAATTGTGGGTGCTCTTATACTTGCAATAAGGGAGAGCTCCGGGTAGGTTATTCGGGAGAGGCAGGGAGAGGGCATCTTGCAGCTTTAAGGCCCATTATGGTTTTTGAATTGGTGCAATGTATCCATGGAGAGATAATTTAAATCATATAAGACATTAGAAGGATGAGTGGCTTCCCTAGTGCCCCATGCGTCGCTATCTTTCGGACAAGAGCATTGAGTTGCTCCGCCACAAAACTTCGGTCAAGCCGTGTCTCATCGAGGGCACGGCCGGACAGTCTCAAGGTGAAGTTGTCACCAGGAAAGCGACATGCGTTCCCCAAGAAACTTGTATGTCAATAGTGACTACAACCTGGAGCATTCAAAACCGCAAATGGACCTCAGACGGGATCCTGCATGCACGCTTATAAGACTGCAAATTATCCGACCTAATTAAAACGGACAGCGAAAATTACTTTATCATGCATACGCTTTCTTATTTTCTTTCATATACTCAGTAGTACCATTCGTGTTCTTTGGTGCGGCAGCTTCAATCCACTTAAGTATCAGTCTCTTGACCCTCTGCTGTCGTATCAAGCGATGTGGCTTTGCCCGGGACACCGATAGCATCTATTTCACAAGCGAAAGTCAAATCAGTGCCGATCTCGTATTGCTAAGAAGAAGCAAGGGTACAAGGAGGATGGAAGCAGTAAGAAGAGGGAAGATTTGTGAGTTAGAATTCTCTCCACCAGAGTCCCGCCGGTCCCGACCAAAGAAGTCACCCCATGCATGTCTTTCTAAAAACGAGGGAGACATGAAAAGAAAAGGCGTAAGAAAAGTGGAATTAAGAGCGGTTAGGAGAAATACCTTTGCCAACTCCTCTGTGCTTTGGGGCACCTTCATCCTGAGCTTGCGTTCATTGGCGGGAAAGTTCTCCAAGCCGTGCATCTCCATGGCCGTTCGGCAGGCGTCCATGATGGAAGCCTGCGGGGTAATAACCCGGGAGGGCAAGAAGGGTAATAGGCGGGTTAAAGGGGAGTCAAATGACAATGAGGTGGATTACCAATTTGTGGCGTAGGGCAGACATATATCTATGCGCCTCATATGACACAGAATCTCATGAATTTGAAGCGTCGCGATCGAGGTATTTGATACACGACAGACACGGTCAAAAGCACCCCGACCAAGCTGCAAAAGGCAACGTACCGTAACAGCGCTAAGTTTCACACCCACCAACGCATGGGGGGGCATGATACCCTTCCGAAAGCCCGGGAAATTGGCGTTCAGGGTCCCGGCTGTGACGTGAGAGGATACAACAAGACGAATAAGAGGGCAAGGGATGACCCTCCTCCATCAAACAGTCCAGAAAATCAACAAGAGAAGAAAAGAGTCGAGCGACTGAGTATTCAGCCTACTTGGAGCACCTCTTTCGCCCTGCTTTCGTACCTTTCAATGCCTGGTTGTACGTTTTCTTCACGTCTGGCCCATATATCTCGGCTTCCACCAAATAGCCACAGACAGGGCGCTCGGCGGAGGGGTCTTCAACCGATACTCTGCATGAAAAGACGTCATCATGAAGAAATGATGACATTCGTTGTAAAAAAATAAGTTGAAACGTAAAAATCTGACACCACTTGAGGACGTATTATGCGGGTATAGTGTAATTTGGCCACGACATGCCTTACCTTGTAACTTTCAAGGTGGGATCCAGGGTGGGTAATATTTCTCCGATTACATTCTGTATTGTACTGCGTAAACAAACCACAGATCGCTGGTTTGGCGTTGCTAAGGGGGAAGAGAGGACGAAGGCGACAGTCACCGGGGGGAAGAGGAGGTTGAAAAAGATGACCAGCAGGACAGGAAAGCTACATGCGGGCATCCTTTGAGCACTCGGCAGGCTATAAATGAAGATAGTTGAGAGGAATGTGGATTTCGTGATAAGCGATATCCCGTACGTGTCGTAATGGATGTAGAGTATCGTTCTATTTCAAGGCCGTCCATCCATCGTGACGCCATCCACGATACGCTCCGGCACGATCTCCCATGACCCTGAACTTTCTCCCATAGTTTAGGTCAGCACATTCATCACCGCGGCTTTGGAGACGATAGGAGTTTGTTGCCGTAGTGCCCTCGCTTGTTCCCTACGTGTGCGAAGCAGAAAATGTGGAAAAGTCTTGTGCCCGGCCTTCGCGGAGAAATGGAAAATGTGACAGTTTCCTGATTTGAATGCTTTATGCTTTCACCGATCAAGTGCATGTTCATTCTATATTTCCCCTAATTCTCGGAATTATGTGTACGATAGGCGTGTCAGTTGCATTCCGTCTTCTCTACACATTATACCCTTCCTGCTAGTATGATTAAAAATTTTGCTATAACGTAAAATTCCACTACAATGTCAGATGAAGCTGCATTCAAGAATTAATATAAGATTTTATGTGAACGAAACGAGTCAGATATTGAACAAGTGTAATGCCTTTTTCTCAGTCGCTTGTATGTAGCATTTCTTATAAGACAAAGACACTTGTGACATTTTTTGGGGCCTCGAGGGCAAAAATGTTCAAGACAAATTGTAATATTTTGCCGGAGAAAGGAAAGTGTAAATATCTCAAAAGTCTCCACTTTCACTCTATCCAGGTCTCGGGATGGCTACATCTTCACAAGCCTCCACAACTCACTGTGCAAGATCGAATTTATCTCAAGCTTTTTTTAAACCATAAGATGTGCTTGCACACTTTGTCTGGCACCACGAAAACGCCGCATTCTCCGTCTCTGCTGTTTCGTCGGTGTATTATCGTAAGCCCGGCTCCCCCAGTACAAACGCTTGCCAATCCGGATTCCGTTGGACGTATGGGAAGTTCTAAAAAGAGAGGAAGAAAAATTAAAAAAGTAGCGTGAGGAGGAGAAAGAGATGGCGCTGCTAATTAAGTAGGACACCCAGGAGTCTGTGTTGCTGTGGTCTTGGTTTTCCCCATGCTTACCTGTAGTCTCTGCATGTAGGCGTCCAATGCTGCGCGCCTCTCCTCCAGGAAGGAGGGGGAAGTGTGCGCCGTGAGGGCTTTCAGATATTTGGGAGGAAGACGAGGGAGGGAGGAAGCAAGGTGGTGTCCCCAAAAGTAAGACCGAATCTGAAAAGGGAAAGAAAGGAGGGCCGCATTTGAGGATTTTGAGGAGGAAGGCATAAGAGAGAGCGACATGTCGAACCTAGGACGACAAAGGTGAGGAAGGGATGGGATGGACGCCTGTAACAAGACCACGCAGGACACCTGCTCGATCCTTTCGTATCAATCTCGACGTCCGTTTCACATACTTTCACATCCAGTTTGTCAAAGTCTCGGAACCGAAACCGGTGTTCCTTTTCCTTGGGACCCGCCCTCCCGTTCGCTCCTTGCTCTCCTTCCTCGGCTCCGGTTCCCTCCGTCGCGGCCCACCGCGTCTTCAGTGTGTAGAAAGCTCCCACTTTCGCTTTTCCACCGGACCTGACGACGCCTCGAGAAGATGATTGCAGTAGGGTTTCCTCCTCCTCTTCCTCAACCTCATCTTCCAGTTTATCCTCCCTCGTCTTCCTTTTTTCTCTGTCATCTCCTCCCTTTTCAGTGTCCAATGGCAACAAAGCTACAGAAGCTACCGTCACGCTTTCTATGGACAAATTTTCTGATAAACCCACTGGCTGCCTTCCTCCCTCTCCACCGTCCGCTTGCTCTGTGTCGCAGGCCCATGGACGACCTCGAATAACCAGCGAATAGGAAGTGAGCCCTAATGGTTGGGAAATGTTAAAGGTGTATATCAATAAAATGGAGATGAAAAGTGCGCGTGCGTGTGGTGATGGAAATCATGCGCTGTCGATTCCTTTGCGACTGACCAGGGTAGTCAACGACGGTGAGCTCACACGGCACTTTTCCTTGAAGAATTTCGAAGGATACGATTCCCCCGCTGTCAATACGGTCGATGGAGTGGTGAACAATTTGCCCTGTTCAAACGGGGAGAAAAAGAAAGCGAATTATGTAAATTTTCGGGATGGGAAAAGCCTTGCACGCAGAACGTCGAGAAGACGCTGTCAGGGTACGGTAGCATTTTTTTTAGTTCTTTGGTCGTTTACGTACCGTCGACATATATGATCTTTTCACCCTTATGGCGATGATGCCTGTCAGGGTGATTGCCAAGTGAGAATTTGCTATCTTTCATTTTTCTTACTCAATCCTTGTATCTCAATACGTATCCTTCAAAACGTGCCGCCTCCCTTACCGTAACATGATTAGGACTTCCATCTCTTGTCCATTAGCTCTATAAGGGTAGCGCCAAATTCTTGTGACTAACCCAGAGAGTGTGGCCTTAGTCGGTGGTTGGTTTCCCATCTTGGACTGGCCTGTCCAAGGATGAATGCAGGAACACAAAGGGATGCATTAATGTTGCATGCGTACCTACCGCTGCCCATGCCGTCATTTTCGGCCCAAATTTTCAAACTACATACAAGATGCATAAGTCGATCAATGGACCCTCAACCGTCCCACGCTATGACCCCGTCTTGACGATGCACCACGCCTTGCCACCTGCTTTGGTTTAGCCGTTAGCGACCGTTTACGACGGTTTAGAGCCCTCGCTTTGGAGTCGAGTCTTCCCTTTTCCAAACCCTCACGCCGAAAGGGCAATGACCAGGAACTGATTGTCGCCTCCACTTCCATAGTGTAATTTTTCACGTGTATTCAATTATATGAATCACTCCAATAGGCCAGAAATTGCAAATTTGAACCCACCCGCCAGCGGAGCTTTCACCCGCGTCACGGAACGAAGCTAGCGTCCGAAGCCCGACTTTTATCACATATGGGCCAAAACTTGATAGCATCCATCACGCACGTAAATGTGGGTGATGTTGTTGCCATTATTGTCTTGCTTGCCTTTTTCTGGCTGGATTATGCGCAGGTCAGGAGCAAAGAAAATGTAATCGACTTTGATAGGTCTTAACCACCTCCTAACCTTTTCCGGTCCCTGCCTTTCCGTGGAAATCATCTCGTCAGGATTGGTTTACGTATAACAAGGATTGGATACATCAGCTAGCCCCTGAAAAATCCAAAGGTTTACTTATTGCGTCCAACAGCGGTCGAAAGAGCGAAGAACTCAGCCAAAAACCGAGGACGGAAAGCGATGTGGAGGAGATTCATATAAAAGTCCTCCTTCTTCGGCTTCGTCGACCCCAACCAACAGAAGCAGGACAGAGGGCAAGATTGGGGGCGGAGGACGCAGACGAAAGAAAGTCTCCTCACTACCTCCGGTTTTTCCCACTCCCTCCTAAGGAAGTCGTCCCGTCCACGGCCTCCAGGCATGAGGGCAGGTGAGATCAGCATGGACGGTGTAGAGTCCATATACAGACTCATGTTTTGGTGTTTCGACTATTCGCCTCTTATTGTGTGACTAGACCGGTCTTATCAATGATTAAAAAGCGAATATTACCTTTCTGTCACCGATCCTCCTCCGATACCTACCCGGCTCCCTTAATCGGCTTCTCTTGACTTTTAATCTAGTGCTTATTTTTAACCACACGCTTCCTAGAGCATAAACTCCTAGTCATACGGATCTTTGTTTCCTAATTTGTGTTTTAAATCCCTACGATCACAGCGGCACGGGGAGTGGATCCTTGGGGAGGGAGAGGTGGCGCCCCCGACGGTTGAGGATAGAGGTCTGGGAGGAGGAGGAGGGAGAGGAGGGAGGAAGCCGTCTTCCTGCCTATCTTGCTGACATTGATGGAGTCATAGTCCGGGCCAGGTTTGAAGGGAGGGCGGGAGGAAGG